AACTCACTAATATTAAATAATAGGAAAAATTCAGTTACTAAAAAACAAAAAATAATAACGATAATAAATTAGATAATTAAGACCTTGTTTGACATGAACTATTTTGACCAAATTAACTAATAAAGACAAAATAACCTAATTTAATCAATAAGATAAAATGTTACATTTAAATTATAATTATTTTATTTTTTTCTCATAATCATCAAATTAATTATAAAAAAAATCAAAATTTATTTCATACATAATATTTTTAGCCACTGTAAAATTGTCAAAAAACTAACCTAAATGAACTCATCTCAAAACAAGGGCTAAGTTGTAATAGAAAACACACAAATTGCATGATGGTAGTCCAAGTCATGTATCCGATTGAAGCTAAGGGCATGCCTCATAGCAATGCAGTGCGAAGTTCGGAACGGCTTGCTTCGAGTAGAAATTTGGACAGACTGTTAGCTGCTTTTCCAAGCTACAAATTTTTATGTTAGTGTTCCTCCAAAACACAGGGTGACAAAAAGTCACATGAGAGACAAACATCGTTACGAGAGAAATAACGTGAAAGCTTAGGATTTTTAACATTATGATAGTATTTTGGATCATAACTAGCAAACAAATTGTTGGTGTCCTTAAACTCTTACATAAACTTGTAGCTTGATTTTATGTAATTTCCCCTATTAGAAATCAAAGAAGTGATTGGTGGAATTAGGGTGTGCGCGATGTGATTTAGACGGTTTGAAAGTAAAATTATAAACCAAATGAATCGTAAATGACAGATTGGACAAATAATCAACCACGTAATTTTGAATGGTTTAGGATGGTTTCAATTTGCTAGTTGATTGAAACTAATATAATATTCTTAAACAATTATCAAAGCATTCATATAAATATATAATACTAATTTGTATAATAGTTTTTCATATCAGTATAACTATTAATTTATAACAAATCTTTCATATTTTAATCTCTTTTATAATCTTTTTTACTTTGATATTTCATTAGGGTTAAAAAAAATATATGTATAACTATAAGCGAAAATGGAGAATGATTTTAAAGACAGATTTATAAACTTAAAATTTAATCCACGTGTAAATGGATTAGTTGAGATTGAACAATTTTCATAAAATTTAGCAAGATAATTTTATAACGCTCTTTATAGTGATAGTGTGTGGTTATAGGACTGTCAGTCTGATTTTATTTTAGCTATTTTATTTATTTATTTATTTTATTTTTGTTGTTTGTTCGCAACGATTATGACTGGTTGATATGTTATAACATTGTAATTCTTTTTTTTCAAATAAATAAATTTTGGATTGCTACTCACGTATCACATGCAATAATAAATTGGTGACCATTTCTAGTACTGTATTGTAGAAATATTGAGAGTCAATAAAATAAAAATCATACGAACCCTTTTTTTAGAAGGGATGGAAAATAATATATTGAAGTAGTTAAAAATATACAAAATCTAAATGAAGAGTGATAAACTCATATGCACTAATAGTTGATGGGTATTGTGGGTTAATTATCCCAATAATAATATATAATATAATAAATATATATTTTATAACTATTAAAAGTTTATATTTATATAGAAAAATATTCAAATAAATCTTTTTTTCTAATGAAATTCCCAATTATAATTCTATTGAACACTAATGAAGATCAACTCCTTCATCATCATAATTGTTAAATTAACCCGAATAAAATTTCATTAGAAAAATAATGACTTTTATGACTTACTGATATTGTCCTTATTTTAATACATTGAAGTAAATAAATATTTCATATAAATTAGAATGGATTGCAAATTTTTTGAACAAATTTAGGGGGCTCGTTTAGCCCCTGGCCTCATCCCTACTAATTTCATCCCATATATGATAGTAAAGTGAACATTTGTCTGAAATCAATGGACCAATTTTATTTTTTAGATAATTAAAATAAATAAATTAAAATAAATAGTGGCTGACGATTTGAAGATGAAATTTTGTTCAAGTAAAGCAGTCTTGACAAATTATGAGATGGTAAGTGCTCGTTTTCATGCTTTTAAACAATAATGTTAGGTGGTTCCGAATTTTTAAATGTTAGGTGGTTTGAATTTTCTTGTCTAGAATGGCTC